AGATCGACTTTTCATAAAAATTTCTTGCCAAAATCGACCGAAGGATTTAAAATCTTTTTTTACATAACGCACATTTTTTTACCTACTGCCTCATCCTGTCATATTTACCTACCTGCTTATAATAATATCACATTTTTTCAATGAAGAAAATATGAAATAAATCATTTCATTTAATTCATTTATTAATATTTTAAGTTTTAATACAGATATTAAATTGAGTATTTAAAAAATTTGTATACTTGTCTTTCAATTTTCTTCAGATACCCTGCTTTAACATAGATATCGGTTTGCAGTGTTATGATTTCTGATTTTAACTTATGTAGTACATCCAAGTCAACCAGTTTCTCTGCAACTTTTTCTATATTCATATTTTTATTAAACGGAAAAGTGATAAAAAGTGGCATTTTTTATCATCAATTTTTTTTAAATCTTGAAAACGATTGTCAAAATCTGCAATTAAGTTTTTATTTCATTTTTATACCTATTTAAATCGATATCGGTAGCAACAATATTTTTTAATAGAGACGTCATATTGGGAAAACATTATGTTTAGTTTTTGTTTAAAGGCATTTACAGAACTCATCATGTCAAAAATTGCTTTATTCTGTCCTTGAAGTTCTAAATTCAAATCATTCAGCTTACCTGTAATATCTGTCAAAAAAGACAAATCTAAAAGCCAAATGTCATCCTCCAACATCCTGTAATCGTCTCTTGTAATAACAAATTGTTTAATTTTGTCAATTAAATCGCGAGAACGCTGTAAGAACTTGCCTCTACTTAATCACCAGATGTCAGTATGCATCACAAGTTCAGAACATTCTTCATGGCCGCTTTCTTCTAAGTATACTTTAAAAAGCCTTCTTTATAATCTTTTTGCCCGGAGAGAATTTCTGATTTTAAAAACTATGGTCATGATTTCTTGCATGTTGAGAATTTTAGAGCCTAGCATAAATATCTATATTATAGATATTTTAGATTCATGATTTTGTTGGCGATCGACTTTATGGACACCACTGTTGTAGATCATACTTTCGACCGAGATGTTGATGACTAATATTGGTCAATTAGTTACGGAGATAATTGATGTGTTTAATTAATTCGTTTGTTGTGTTTTCATCAAAATCCTTAAATATTTCGAATCGGGCATTTCGACAACAGCATTTGGCTAGACACAAACTTTCGATTGAGATATAAAACATTAAAATCCGTCAAACTGTTCTCTAATTATAGTCGATTTAGTTTAAATTAATTTTTTTATATTGTGGGCTAGACTTTCGAGCATTCACACGTGCATAAACAACGAGCCGAAGACGGTGTCATTCCGAGGGCTGTATAAAGTTAGCGGGAGAGAATTGAAATCGGGCATTTTGTGATTTCGATAGATAGATAGTATCTTTGCATTATTTTGCTGATTATAGCGAAATTCGAAGGAGATTTCGAATCGGGTGTATTGGCCAAGAATTAAGCTTTCAAATGAGACATTCTTTATTGAAATCGGTTAAGTGGTTCTCATGTTATAATCAAAATACTATACATGTAAAATCCTATCTAATTGGGGGCTGACTTCACATAGGTGTCATTATGAATAATTATGTTGTAATCTTAACAAGTTTAGTGAAAATAACTTTTTCCGTCGACTGTGTATTTATATGATTTATAAATGTATACAAAATCATTCATTAATGACACCTATTAATAAATGATTTTCTATTAATAAACGATTTTAAGAAAGTCCGACCGACCTAATATAGTAGTCAATTTTTCTCCAATGAAATCTGTAATACCGACCCAACCGACCACTATATCTATTCGGTAAGACTACAATATTAAGTTTTGACTTTTGACTCATTAAAAGTGAGGTTAAATGTTCTGTAAACAAAAATAACTATTTCAGTTTTATTAAACAAAATACAAATTCAACTATCTACTCATTAATTAGTGTTACAATATGAACTCTACTATTTATTCAGTGTTAGTATTGTCTTGTTTGTGTTTGCAAATATTTATATTTGTTAGTAATAGTACAGTTATTAAAACTGAAAGAAGGCATTATAGAATTATCCATTGTATTATTTTTTGAGTTTAAATTTAAGTTTACATAGTCGTTTTGAACGTTTGTGATAGAATTTGTGCCGGCGCTGGTAGGATTAGTGTTATGATGTTGTCTTACGGTTTCACAGAGTATTTTTTTAGCTGTATTAAGTTTATTTTGGAGCGAATTTTCAATATAACCTTCTGCAACACTAGTCGATTTCCAGCCACCAAGTCGTTTAATAGCTGAAAAATCTGCTCTATTGTCAGAAAGTATCAATGCAGAAGAACGCCGAAAACAATGTCCGGTGTAGAGTTGGGGCTGTTCTAATTTCAAAAAGGTTGCTATAGTGGACGGCAATTTTGAAAACGTGTTTATGCCAACTGGCTGTACAGAACTTTTATCATTTTTATAAAAAATAAAAAACCGCTTATGTGGGGTATGTGCTGGTCTTAATGATATATAGTGTTTAATCAAACCAAGAATAATATTTTCTTGATTTTCTACTATAGTAAATAATCTGTTTGTGTGCGTTTTAGATGCGTTAACTGTTACAAGAAATTTTGATCCTAAATCTTGCACATCATCCGTTTGCAAGTTCAGCAATTCTTGCTTTCTTAATGCACCGGATACTCCAAAAACCAATGCAACCTTCGAAATAAAATGGTATTTTAATATTATAATTTTTACTTTTTTATTTGTTTACCTTTGACATTAAAAAGACGTTGTTAGGAGCATCAGAAATAAATTTTTGTATATGTTCTTTCTCAAGCACTTTGGATTTTTTTGGTATGTATCCTTCTTTTTTTCTTTTGGTAAACATTATAAGTTTATTATATATACTTACATCTATGTTATGTTTCAAATTTAATGTTGCTTTAAGCATAAATATTTTGGCCATAAACTGGCAATTAATCCTTTCTCTACAATACTCGAGAAATATGCCAATAAAACAGATTCTGAGTATCGCATTATTTGTTTTTCATTACACCATAATGTAAATTCGGCATAAGTTTTTTCATACAGGCTTTTACTCTTTGTCGGTAATAAACTTGAAGATACAAAATTTGCAGTTTCCGCAACTTCTGGTGGTGTTAACGTATAATATTCGTCGATATTCATTTATTCGATGTTTTTATAACACTTTCTAAACACTATAACACAATTTTCGAAATTTAAATCTTGATTGACATTTGACAGATATACGTCGCACCACCTCGCGTTTTTTTTGGATATTTTGTTTTCTAATACTAACAGAAACAGGCCGCCTGTAATACCGACCCAACCGACCACTATATCTATTCGGTAAGACTACAATAAGTTTTGACTTTTGACACATTAAGAGTGCGGTTTTTATTTTGCCAGTGATAGAATTGGAAGATTTTTCAACGATGGATTTTCTCTATTTTGTTGAAAGGACAGTCAACGGAAAAATATTGTAACTAACTCGTATATTAAAATGCGATTAATTATCTCAATAATTAACGCGTTCGCTTCGCTTCGCTTCGCTCGCTCACGCGTTAAAATATCTCGATAATTAATCGCCTTCATTAATAGACTTGTTGGTTAAATAACTATTTATTTTGTGCGTGGGTATAAATTAAACAATTAGAGGTTAGGATTTACTACGAATATACATGGTTAACATTGCTTGTGTTGTCAGTTATAAGTTATAATTGTCATTTGGTTAAATACACAGTTTGTTGCCATCGTCACACGGGTTATTTTTTATTGTTATTTTGTAACCATGTACACGTCTTTTTTAATATTAATTTTTAATTAATTAACTATTTTAACTTAAGTAAGGTACTATTAAATAAGCTATTATACTTATTTATTATTTATATTTACAATATTAAGACATTTCATTCGTTTGATATATCAATTGATACACAATCTATTAATACAGAGTCTATTAAACACATTTAATAGAAACAATTCTATCTAACGACAGGTAATTGTCGTTATGCATTGATAGCCTAAGAAATAAGGTTTTCATCCGAAAATATGTTGTAATCTTAATAAGTTTAGTGAAAATAACTTTTTATTTTGTGCGTGGTTATAAATTAAACAATTTCAGGTTAGGATTTAATACGAAAATGCATATTTAACATTGCTTTTAACTTCCAAAACGAAACGTCAAATCGCAACTTTAAAGTGATTTTTCGGTAAGTACTACACTTTTCTATAGAAGGGACAAGAGAGATTTGAAACTATAGCTAAGTTCAGGTCGGTACATCCAACATGTCTGACTTTCTGATTGTCCCCACCACCACCACATACGCACTCTAGATTATATATAAGACCTCAATGGTTTGGAAGGAGAAATTGATAAATCCTTATTTGAGGTTATCATGTCCTCATTCATTCTCGTAGCCTCCTCTCGTTGAGCAACAACACTTTCGGAAGGGTGAACTTCCGAAAGTGTACATCACAACTAGGTTTTGCATTGATTGTATGTTTCTCATAATAACGAGCTGCAATTAAGTGCCACCTATTCCGGCGAAACACTCCTCGATTTGTATGGATCATATATGACCGTGGCTCCGCGCACTTTTCAACTACATATCCATAAACCCTTAAATCAATTACCCACACCCATTCTCCAATTTGCAACTCACCCAAGTCCTTTGTTTTATGCCTGTCATTGTACTGTCATCTCTTTTCTATTATAATAACTCTCTTCCCTTTCTCTAAAATGTGCTACATTAACGGTATCGTTTAATTTCTTTTCAATCATAGATAAGTTAGTTCTTAATCGTCGCGACAGTAATAACTCTGGTGAATCCGCTTTCCAATGGAGCAGTTCTATACGCCAGCAACGCCATATAAATATCTTTGTTCTTCGTTAACCTTTAGAGGACCGGGACCACCACTTAAGTGGTGGTCTATGTTATCAGTCTTTGTATATGATAAATATATCATATGAAGTACATTTTGTATCGATTTTCTTCAGACAATATGTTACCTAAAATCCCGGCCCCCTAAAGGTTAATAACTGTTTTGCTACTGCAACAGCTCTTTCGGCACAACCATTTGATTGTGGAAAATATGGACTGCTAGTAATATGTTTGAATTTATAAGTCATTGCAAAATTGTTAAAACTAGTTCGAAATTGAAGACCATTGTCGGTACGTACAACTTGTGGTATCCCATAACGTGAAAAGGTTTCTTTAAATTTATCGATAATAGTATCTTCTCTCATGTCGGCTAACTCAAAGATCCCAAAAAATCGCGAATAATAATCGATGATTATTAGATACCACTTTTTTAATTTAAACAAATCTGCAGCCACGCTTTGCCAAGGCCTATCGGGTATTGGTTCTTTTAAAAACGTTTCCTTAGGATTTCGTCGTTCTTCAGCACATCTCGGACAATTTCTAACCACATTTTCAATTTGTCTGGATATACCGAGCCACCAAACAGACATCTTTGCCTGCATTTCGTAATACCAAAATGACCGGTGTGGATGTAATCTAAACATTCCTTCTGAAAAACCTTGAGTATTATGATTCTTGTTCCTTTTGTTAATAGTTTATCGTGACATGAAATGTCGTATCTGTATTGATAATATGGCACCATTTCCAATGGCAACGAACTCTTGTCTGCAACCAGACTGACAATATTGTACCAATCGACTACAATCGTCATCTTTCAACTGTTCTATTGCTATTTTTCCGAAATAATCATCCTTTATCGGTAAGTTTGTCAAAATTAGAGCTACGTACGCTTCAACTTCGTCTGTCAATTCGTTCTTTTCTAAAGGTCTCTGTATAGGGTTTCGAGACAAAGCATCCGCAACCACTAGCTCTTTTCCGGGAATATATGTTACTATATAATGATATCTCATAAGTCTAATCCTGAATCTTTGTAATTTTGGTGTGAGATCGTCCAAATTTTTAATTCCTAAAATCTGAATTAAAGGTTTGTGGTCAGTCTCTAGTGTAACCGGCACTCCTATAATATATTTACTGAATTTCTCACTTGCCCAAGTTAGTGCTAAACACTCTCGTTCTATGTGTGCATACTTTCTTTCAGCGACGGATAATACTCTGGATGCGTACGCGACCGCCTCTCGTTCAGTCTGAAAATTAACTTGCATTAACGCAGCCCCTATTCCATACACAGTAAAAAAATTGTTGTAACACGTACTACAATTGTAGTGGTTTCGACTACAGTTTGCATCTAAAATGGGGACAAGAGCAAATTGTAGTCATCGACCGCATCGTATTGTAGTAAAAATAATGTGGCACATATACACACAATATATTATATTAAATACTACCACAGAAGTTTGTCAAAACTAAATTTGTAGTGTAACCTTCACTACAAATATGTGGTGCTTTTATTACAATTAATTGTAATGCTCCCAATGATTAATATAAATTTGTTACTATTTATTAAAGTTAATTTTAATATTTCTATAGTAAAATCTACTACAATTAAGTGTAGTATGTTATAAACTTAAATAAATAAAAACACCTAATCCTTTTTTATATGGTTTTAAATACAGACCTTTACCTAAAGCTATTGATTCCATCGTTTGATTATGTCTTTGACTTTCCTTGAGTGCCGCTTGTGCTTGCTTCGTTTTATTGACAGCACTTATAACGGAAGCAGTGCCACCTGCTAGAGCTCCTAATGCACTTAAACCAGCAAAAATTGGAATGAGCGGAAGTATACCACCGCTTTTTGGAATTGTAATAACTCTAGAACGAGGTTTCTTTTTGACAATACCTTTTACGGCACGTAAAGCTAACTTTGCAGCAGATTTCAAATCATTAGTGCTTGACTCTTTTAATTTTATTTTAGCATTTTTAACGGCTTTATTGAAAGAAATCGCTTTTCCACTTGCTCCTTTCTTCATGGTCCAATCACTTCAATGGTCAACAGACAAATGAATATTATATGTTTAAATTCAGTCTTATAAAGGAGTCAGTTATACCATAAACATGAAAGTGATAAAACAACCTTACACATTAAATATTGATGATATTGATAATCGCTTCAATGGTCAACAGACAAATGAACATTATATATTCAAAATCAAACTTATATAATAGTTAGTTATACAATAAACATGAAAGTGATAAAACAACCTTACACATTAAATGTTGATGATGTAACAATGCAATTTAATAATAATCAATCACCTCAAAACAGAAAGCATAGTTATTTATTTCCAAATAATCTACGTTGCATTATATCCGGACCTTCTAACTCTGGTAAAACAAATCTGATAATTAGCTTATTACAGGATCCTAATGGACTATCATTTAAAAATGTGTATGTGTATTCAAAGTCATTGTATCAAAACAAATATGAATATTTGAGAAAATTGCTGCAGCCTATAAAAGGTTTAGGATATTATGAGTATAGCAGTAGTGATGACATAATGCATCCTTCTAAAGCGAATGAAGATTCGGTTTTTATATTTGATGATGTAGCATGCGATAAACAATCAATTATTCGTGATTATTTTTGTATGGGACGACATAAGGCAATAGATAGTTTTTATTTATGTCAGAGTTACACACATATTCCAAAGCATTTAATACGTGACAATGCAAACTTTTTAATACTTTTCAAACAAGATGATCTAAATTTAAAACATATTTATAATGATCATGTAACAACCGATATGAAATTCAATGTCTTTAAGAAAATGTGTTCAATGTGTTGGAAAGACAGATTTGGATTTTTTATAATCAGTAAGGAGGACGATATGAACAATGGTAGATATCGTAATGGGTTTCATTACTATATAAAACTGTGATTGTGTATGTTTCTATATCAGTCATGTTAGTGATACGAACAGGTGGAGAGCTGCATTTACCCGGCTATCAGTTTTGTGGACCCGGGACAAATCTCATGAAACGCTTAGCACCAGGATCTCCTGGTATTAATGACCTTGATAGAGCATGTAAACGTCACGATTTAGCCTATACACAATACACAGATTTACACAATCGACATAAAGCAGATAAAGTATTAGCTGAAGAAGCATGGAAAAGAGTATTGGCGAAAGATTCATCGATTGGTGAAAAAGCATGGTTTGTTACTAATGCGATGAAAGTAAAACGAAAGTTAGGTTTCGGTTTGAAGAATGCGAAAAAGTATCGGTGTTACAACCGATAAATGCGGTTGGTCGGATAAAACTGATCGGTTAAAACCGGTCGGATAAAACAGATCGGTTAAAACCGATTGGATAAAACGGATCGGTTAAAACCGGCCTGAATAGTTTCAATAAAACTCTACAGTAAGCACAATATGCATTAGTCAGTAACCGTTCATTCATTGTACAGAAAACATGGACTCAAAACAATTAACACGAAAGCTTATTAAAACAAGAGCAAATGTGAAAAAGAAATTGGATACATTAAAAGCAAGGAAACATAAATCTGAACGTTTGCTTCAACAGCAATATAAAGCAGTAACAACCCCTTTAGAAAAAATAATTTCCACAATTAAACATCCTATTAAAGTTAAGAAGGAGGAGGAGAAGGAGAAGCTTAAATCGGAGGAAGTTAAAGAAGAAGAATTTAAAACAGTAATACCTACAAAGAAAAGAAGAGTATCAGAAGCAGTACAAGCATCACGTCTACCAGAACGTTCATCGAGAACAACAACAACAACAAGCGCCTCAATCACCAACAATATCAATATTAAGCGATGATGATGACGATGTTTTTGCAACATCTCCATCACCACCACCGCAACCAACGCAAACATCACCACCTGCAGCAGCAGCAGCGACAGCAGCAGATCCATTACCAGAAACTATGAATATTCCTGAAGAATCATTTTTCTTATACTTGGAACAATTTGCTCCTCTAACAAGATCTTACATTGAGGGCTATGTAAGAGATGATAGCAATGAATTCGATTCCAGCAACAAGGGTTCATGTTGATATTTTAACTGATAAATATACCATTGGAAATAGTGAAATATTCTTTAGTAGTAAAACGAATGATATAACCATTGCAAATAAAACTTATAAGGGTACGAAAGGTCTGTATGAGCTAATCTTCAAGAGGGAACCAGAACAATATACCAGTGATGATCAAAAGAATTACGTTGAAATACTTAAAACAACAGCAGCATTAACCTTCGAGCGGGCGCGCTGTTATAAAATTTATCACAATCTTCGTTTTTTTAATATATTTCCTTATACAGGGTGATTCATAAGTAATGGGCCAAATTGTAAATGTACGTTCAGGAGGCCAAAATAATAATATTTTCATTAACAATAATGGGTCTTAGTCTGCTCCTTGCTGAGATACAGGATGTTAAAGCGAAAAAAATAAAATAGATTTTTGTTAATAGATCAGCTACTTTTCTACATAATGACTCATAGTTGACTTATAGTTTTTGTANCACTGCTTTAGATTCACGTAATGAATGATGTATTTTGTTTTATTTTCCAAATTTGCTATTAACTTTGCATTTTTTGAACCTGGGGGTACAATCCGTTCTGGACAAAATGGTAAATCGTTGTGTTCATCATGTATTGCTTCCGGATACTCTAAATCTACCTTGAATTGCCTTACCTCATTGCGTGTCCATACAAATTCGTAGCGTCGAGATACAAAATATAAGATGGGTCTCTGGTTTCATCAAATTCCATCATTAATTTATTCTTAGCCTTTGCACTGCGTTTAGTGCACATACTTAATCCACCGCGAATACCATTTTTAAAGAAGTGTAACATGTCTATGTCCGTTAATAATTCTAATTTTACCCCTGTCATTCGTAATAATGCATCCCAACCGAAGCCCGGCGCTGTGAAGTAATGACATGGATCTAAAGAGTAATACTTCATCGAGATGGTTCGGAAATTCTCAAATACGTCCGCCAAAAGTAAAACGTCAGACGTTAAATAAATGTCGCTATATTCGCCTAAAGTGCGACAGTTAAATAAGTTCCACACCGTTTGTGCACGACAATAATTTTCTTCGGTTATACTATCGTCGCATAAAGTATTGTAAAAACTACTTCGATCTGGCAGAGCGGTAAGATTCAGCTTTTCGAATGAATCCACAAAGGAATACGGAAAAACTCCTTTCTGACGTATAAGTCGAAACTGTTCTTCGTTCCTAAAATATTTTCTGATTTGAACGCATTGGTTGTCTTCCAAAAATGAACCCAACTTCTCTAGCGATAAAGCCATAAACCTAAATGAATCCACAAATCTCAATTTCATATGAACCCGCCTTAGCTTTCCCTTGCTGTCAATGTTTTCTCCTACGATAATTTTTTTCGAAAATGATATATACTTTTCTTTATTCTGTGCTATAACGTCCACGTCTTCTTCTTTTAATGCCATATCTTTCACAAACATATGACAATCGTAGTTCGAAAGATTGTGAAAGAATATCGGTATGAACTTTGGTAATTGATAATTGATGTTACATACAGCATGTGCGGGTCCTCTATACAACCCAGTTAGGTGATCATGATCGCACACTTTATTACCTTCTTTTATTTTGTGCGAACAAATGTGACAGATATCCTGCATCTCATGTATTAATCTATCAATAGGTGGTAATGGGAGCATTTCTTTTGGTTGGCTTAAATAATTTTTGTATATATTCAGAACGTCATGTTCCAACTTGCTCATGAAAATTTGAGCAGCATTACATCCGCGATATATTTCAAACTTCGACAATGATTCGTCATATGAACATTTTATATAATATGCAAATGCATAAGGTTCGTGTTTGAAACATTTGACGGAGTATGAATTATCATCGTTAAGTTCTGTTGCTTCCGCATCGGCGATCGGTTTCTGTAATGCTTCAAAATCTGCATACACCACGAACGGTATTTTTAATTGTCGTTCAAAATTTTCGAACTGTAGTATATTTTCCTTTTCTTCATTTCCATATTTATTTATTTTCAAATTTGTTGTTGGTAAAATTGCCCTTACCTTGCTGCAATCGTCACTTTGATGACGGATAAGTTTATTTTCTGACGTAAAGAATACCAAGCATCCGTCGCAAATATACTTTTCATGACCATTCTGCGATGCTTGCGATGATAGTAATCGAGACAGATTTTTTATCCAACAATAGTGACTATTCCCGGAATCATTTGTAACCAATAATAAATTTATATGTCTTTCTTCTTTTTGTCGACATATATACATTGTAATTATGTCATAATTCATAACACCGTCTTTAAAATACTCATTTATTCCATATACATTAATAGATAGTTTGTTCTGCTTTTCAAATACAGGTATATCTCGTAATTTAACTGGAAAAACAATATTTGAATAGTCTAAGCCGCAGTCTAGGTAATTCGGATACGAAGATGTCCTCTGTGGTAAACCGTTCGGTTCATGTAGTGCGGATGTTACAGCCCATGCAAAACATGCATCATCCGCGTTTTGTATATTTATCACAGCACGCTTTGCTTTTATTTGCGATGGTAGATCGATGTAATTAGATGCTCTGATAGGATTATATTTGTTTAAATTTAACTCCATATAGAGAATTTGCATTAAAGTCCATCCTAAATAAAATATTGAAACATTTATTTTTTAATATATAGGTATATTATGTCACATTACGCTTACCTGAATCTCGTTCCTGGAATTCTGACATTTTTGATGAAATTTCATCAATAAATTCCTTATATATTTTATACAGATCCGACGCTAATGATACTACCTTATTTTTCGTATTGAATGATTTTATTTCACAGTCTTCCTTTGATTGTAAAAAATACAAACCAAAACATTCCATATTTAATTTTACATTTCGGTGAATATCGATTGCGCTTTGTATTAGATTTAGTATTTTTTCTCGAATTCTATGAGAAAATTCATCCAAATCCACAAAAAAACCTTCTTCACTTATTCGATAACTGACGATTTTGTCACCGAATGCTCCAGCTATTCTCTCCACTCCGTCATCGATTATAACAAAAGCGTTACGCTTGTGTGCGTTGCTTCGTAAATGTGCAGAGTAACATTGTCTATTTACATAATCATCGCAAGCCTCACATTTTACTGCTTTTGGAATTTGCGGTGCGTCAAGCTTGATTCTCTTGCCAATACAAGATAATCGTTGATGTCTTTTTAAATTGTCAACTCGAGTAAAACTTTTTCCACAATCCTCACACACGACCATTTTACAATTTAATGTTGTACACTTCTACCCGTTATGAAAGAACTACGTCAATACCACATTTCGCAGGCGTTTATAAACCCTCACCGCTCCTGAAACTTATTGAGAGGAGGAGGATGCATCGAGTGCGTTTGTATGCATGCATATTTTTAAACTCCGTATACCTTTGCATAATAAATTAAAAAAATATATCTCGCAGGTAGATCATGACTCACTTAGTATCAAGTTAATTGACCTCCTCGAACGTATCCCCCAAAAAATTTGCCGATTTAAGAACCTTCTCGCATATTTTAAAGCTCCGTATACCTTTACATAATAAAATAAAACAATATCCCGCAGGTAGGGCATGACTCACTTATTTGTATACCTACATGTCTCAAAACCGTATACCTTTTTGTGTATAATAAGTTATAAGATATATCGAAGACATGTTCTAACAGTTCATTGAGAAACGTCGAAGGATAAACATAGTCATTGTTTTCATCTAGGTAAACAGGTTACATATAAAGATAAATTTTTAATAACTTTCTCAAAATAACATGACCTAAATAAATAAATAAATTTTTAATAATTTCATCAAAATAACACGACCTTCTCAAGTTAATTGACCTCCTCCTCTCCTCATCGAATCTCCTCCGACCCCTACAAGAATCGCCGATTCAGGAACCTCCTCCTAGAACGCAGGTTCGAGAAGGAAGTTCTAGAATCGGCGAATCTATACTACTCGTAGTCAAACCTAACTCTCGTTGACCAGGAACACGAGGCATGTTGTACTTAAGAAAACGGACAAACTTGAATTCACGTAATTTTGATATTGAATAATTCTATTTAAAATTTGAAGGAGAGTTTCATAAAGCTTTATTTATAAGTTTTATATTATATTAATTATATTACTGAGATTTTTATCTGACGTTTTATTTTTTAAAGAATTACTCTAAAATCATTTATTAGAGGAACATATAAATAATCGTGTATTTGTTGTTCTTAAAAATATCAAAAAAGATTTAAAATAAATTAAAATTAACACATTTAAAAAAAGGGTGGTCCATTCTTCGGCCCACTTCAAACTGGGGCGGTTTTACCTGGGTTAAGGAAGAGGATAACTTCCTTTAGTCTCAGAAATCCAATTGAATAGAAATAAAAGATGTCTTCGTCCTCTTCCAGTACCAGCGTCATGTCGGAGCTAACAACGGACGATTCGCATTAAATCTGAACAGAGCTGTACTTACTAAAGGGATAAATGATTTATACCAGGCTGATTTAGTAGAGATGATACCTTATGCACGACAAAATAGTGGTTATCGTTATATACTCGTTGTAATTGATATCTTTAGCAAATATGCATGAGTTGTTCCGGTAAAAACTAAATCAGGTAAAGATGTTACTAAAGCAATGAAAAGTATTTTAAAGGATGCAAACGTACCAAAAAACCTTCAAACCGATCAAGGAAAAGAGTTTTATAATAAAGATTTTATGTCACTTATGAGTAAATTAAAAATTAATCATTACTCTACGTTTAGCTCATTAAAAGCATCTATCGTTGAACGTTTAAATAGAACTTTAAAAGGTTTAATATGGAAAGAATTTAGTGTTCAGGGATCTCTTAAATGGTTAAATTTATTACCGGAAATTTTATAAATATATAATACCCGCAAGCATTCCACTACAGGTATGAAACCAATAGAGGCGGATGAGGAAAAGCTATTGCGTACTGTTTATAATAGAAAAACACATTATCAAAGTCAAACATTACACACAAAATTTCATTTGAATGACTTTGTAAGAATATCTAAACATCGTGGTGTGTTCACCAAAGGGTATACTCTTAACTGAAGCAATGAAGTTTTTAAAAGTGTTAAGATTCAATATAGTAATCCAGTGACGTATTTATTACACGGAGCTTTCTGTACTGAATAATTACAACGGACTCATTATCCTGACATACAGTTGATTGAAGAGATTCTAAAACCGAAAGGAAACAGAATGTACGTCAAGTGGTCGGGAATAGATGAAAGAAGTTGGATTAAGAAATCAGATATTGTGTAGTAGTAATTAGATTTTTTTAAATAAAACAACTTTTTTAATATGTTATCTGGCCCTTATTTTATTAGTATACTTATCTCCTTCGCCTTCAAATCATATGTTTTGTTTAAACGTTTCTTTTGTGCATCAACGTTGTTCACGCACGCTCACAGGGGGAGCTTGTCCGCCCCGCGCCGGTATGATTTGAGTTGGGTCATGCGCGTGCACCGTTACCCCCGATACCTTTTAAAAAACCGAACAATCACTCTTATCGTTTGACTGTCGGGCGATAAACATCGTTATATATTGTAATTATTACAATAATTTATAAATTACTTCTATAGTGTATATTAAAATTAAAACCACAAGAACAACAACAAAGGTAAAAGTAAGATCATTTATTTCTTATTATTTCACCGAATTCAGCACCTTCCTCTTTTCGTTCCCGATTTTTTATCGAGCGAACATTGGTCCTTCGAGCCGGATTCTTATTCCGTTTATTCTTAGGTTCTTGTTCAGCTTCTTCCGCCAGCGTACGTTAGTGGGCCTTCTGGTGATACGATTTTTTATCGTATTAGAATTAGGTGATCCGGACGTACGACGCCGCTGTTCGAGATTTTTCCACTACAATTATCCACGTTACTTCTTTTTTCATTCCTTTCAGCCATTTCGATCCGAACCACATGGTTCACATTTGGTCTCTTGGGGAGTAAACAAGAAGATAAAAACTGGATTTTCTTTATTTTTCAAAATTTTATTAATTCCGTTCCATTTTTCTACACACGTTTTCATTTTATTTATTTTTGCCGATATTCCCTTTGGAATCATCCATCCTATTTTCTTGATTTTCATCAGAATTAATTTTATTTTCCTTTTTGTCATATTCCAGGTGGAATCATTTTCTTTCTATAGAATCCATTTAGTTTTGGAATCATCTACTTTTTATTTTATTACTATCTTTTCTAGAAAAAGGGGATTATCCTTTTCATTTTTTCTGTGCCACTCTTATTTTTTATTTTTTTTTTTCTCGTTAACGATGTCAAAGAAACTCGATAAACTGATCTTGCGTCGTAACACTCTTTTAAGCCGCCTTTCGGAATCGATGATAGCTGGTCGTGATCTTCCCGATGATCCTTTTGAACATGATATTTTTCTTCAAAGAGCCCAAGACTCTGAGGAGATCTACAAAGAATTCAAATTACTACACAATCAAATCATCGGTCTGATAACCGATGAAGACTTTGAAACTCACGATCAAATTCGTAAAGAAGCTGACATTAATTTTTACACCATCAAAGCCCTCGTGCATAAATTAAATCTAGTTTCTCAAAAACTGTCAGAGTCAGCCTCGTCTATTGTAACGCCAAAACTTAATAAATTAATATTACCAATTTTTGATGGCAATCTTAAGAATTGGCCTACATTCTTTGATTTGTTTAGCAGTATGGTCCATGATAATTCTTCTCTCTCTCCCGTGGCAAAACATCAATATTTAATTACGTCCCTGAAAGGTGAGCCTTTTAATTTGTTGAAAGGGCTTCCGGCCACAAATGATAATTACATAATCGCCTACAATACACTTAAAGGGCGTTATCAAAATAAACGCCACTTGGCCACTCTGTATTTTAACGAAATTCTGAGTATTAAGGCTGTTTCCGAAGAGTCTTCTAAATTTTATCGTCTATTAATTGACACATTCAGCGAGAATGTAGAGGGTTTTCGGACCCTTGGTTTTCCTGTAGATGAGTGGGATTTTTTATTATTCAATTTATTACTTCAGAAACTTAATCAATCTACCAAAACTAAGTTTGAAGGAGAACACACGTCTTATGAAATACCCACCTACAAACAACTTATGACATTTTTAGAAAACCAATCAAAGGCTTTTGAATCTGTTTTACTTACTTCTCAAGATAAAACATCTCTCAATCGTCAAAGGCCCCTGTCAAACATTCGTGGAAAGACCGTAATGAGTTTAAACTTTGAAGACAATTCATCAACATCTAAATGCATTTTATGCTCCGATAATCATTCTATTTATCGCTGTTCATCATTTAACTCAAAATCACCATCTGAACGTCTGGCTCTTGCTCGACAACACAATCTTTGTAGAAACTGCCTTAATTCAAAGCATTCTACCCAAAATTGTCCCTCTTCTCACCGTTGTCGTGTATGTCAACAACACCACCATTCGTTATTGCACTTTGAATCTCAAAAGAGTTCCCCTGTTCATGTTGGCACCACTGATTGTAATCTGAAACATAACTCAATTAATGAAACGAATTCTTATGTCATTTTGCCTATCGCATTTTTGCATATCAGAGACAAATTCGGAAAGTTGCATCCCGTTAGAGCCTTAATTGACTCGGGTAGCATGTCAAATTTCATAACTGACAGGTTATCTAAGAAGCTTCGTCTCCCTCGTACCTTTAATTCTTCTCTAGAAATTAAAGGTCTTAATTCAATGACATCCATTTGTAACAAAGGTTCGGTTAACTGTTTCATCCAACCTTGTCAATCACAAACACCCTCCTTTGAATTTAATGCTATCATAACACCCAACATCTGCTCTGATCAACCGTCATTATCATCCATTATAAGGTCTCATAGTCATTTAAAGGGATTAAAATTCCCTATGGAACATAATTCCAATGTAAGACAAATCGATTTATTATTGGGTGCAGAATTGGTCCCGAAGATACTCACTGGTGGGCGTGTACTTGGGGAATCTAGTGATCCGGTTGCCGTTGATTCCGTCTTCGGGTGGATCGTGATGGGACGTTCAAGTTCCTCTTCTGGAACTTCCATAGCTACATGCTTATCGACAACGGAATCATCTCTCGATCATTCAATTCAACGCTTTTGGGAATTAGAATCAATTCCCAAAGAAGCTTCCTTAACCACAGATGAAAAACAATGCGAACGTCATTTTGTGGAAAATTATAAGCGTACTGTTTCTGGACGCTTTGTCGTGTCATTACCCTTTAAAAATGATAAACAAGTTTTAGGTCACTCTTATCAAATTGCAGTAAAACGTCTTACCTCCTTAGAGTTTCGTCTTTCAAAAAATTCCTTAATGCGTAAAGAGTACGTACAATTCATGAAAGATTATTTGGAGTCTGGTCATATGTCTGCTGTGCCGCCCCCTAAAACGCCGTTATCAGAAGCTTATTATATTCCCCATCATTGTGTCATGCGCACTGACAGTCCTTCTACAAAGTTTCGAGTTGTTTTCGACGCTTCTATGTCAACGTCCAATGGAAAATCTTTAAATGATCTCCTTCATGTAGGACCTAAACTACAACAGGACATTAGTCAAATTTTATTGTTGTTCCGATGTTATCCTTTCGCATTTACCTGCGATATAAAGCAGATGTACAGACAGATCCTTATATCTCCAATGCAAAGGGACTTTCAAAGAATTCTGTGGCGATTCTCTCCAGACAATCCAATACAAGAGTATGTGCTTAATACGGTAACTTATGGCATCTCCTCAGCTCCTTTTCTTGCCCTCAGAACACTTGTAGAATTATCAGACATCTATCATCAGGAATTTCCGAGAGCGTCCAAAGCCCTAAAACATAATATTTATGTTGATGATATTGTAGTTAGTAGTCCAACAATAGAAGAAGCACTAAATTTACAAGAAGAATTAATAGCTTTATTAAAAAAGGGGAAGTTTGAACTCCGTAAATGGGCCAGTAACTGCCCTGAAATTCTAAATCTGGTTTCTGAGTCCGATGTCCAACAACCTATTTCGCTGGACTACGACGAAATCAATTATATAAAGGTTTTGGGTCTCCAATGGGATCCCTGTACAGATGAGTTTAGATATTCATATTCAGCTAGAACGTCAAGTTGCACAAAAAGAAACATCCTTTCTGATGTGGCACGGATTTATGACCCGCTTGGCTTTTTAACTCCCTGTACATTGAAGGCCAAACATTTTATTCAACAATTGTGGCAAATAAAAAGCGATTGGGATGAAATCGCCCCTTCATTGATGGCCTCAAATTGGAATAAATTTAAATCTCAATTGGAACTATTATCTGTAATTCGTTTACCTCGATTAATGATCCCAGACAATTCTAGTTCTCTTCAACTTCACGTCTTTTGCGATGCTTCTCAGGTGGGCTACTGTGCAGTGGCGTATTTGCGTAGCCAATATTCCTCTCAAGTTGTCAGCACTTCCTTTGTTTGTGCCAAATCCCGCGTAGCCCCATTGAAAGTCATATCGGTTCCTCGCCTTGAGCTCTGCGGAGCTACTCTTTTAGCCGATCTGGTTAAGAATGTTCTTGAATATCTATCACCTACAATAAAAATAGATTCTGTTACTGCTTGGACAGACTCTCAGGTAGTGCTAAATTGGATTAATTCCGAACCTTGTACATGGAAAGTGTTCATCGCAAATCGCGTCAGTCATATTCAAGAAATTGTTCCGTCGGAGTCATGGAGATATGTTCCGTCTCTCGAAAATCCTGCTGATTGTGGCTCGCGGGGATTTTATCCTGGTCAATTGTCAACATTTGATTTATGGTGGAAGGGTCCATCTTGGTTGATTGACGACAGCAACAATTGGCCTGCCAATCCAATTCGTAATTTTATTCAAGAAGATATCCTTAAAGAAAAAAGAACGATTACAGTTAATTCTACTGAAACACAACTGTCATTTTTTGATCATTTACTTACCAAATTTTCTTCCTTGTCAAAGGTTAAACGTATCATTGCCTACATGAGGCGGTTTATTACTCAAATTCAACGAAAAAGATCATCTTATTCCATATTATTATCTCCTATTGAACTTCAGAGTGCTCTCTATTCAATTATAAAACATGTACAACATCAACACTTTCCGGATGTATATCAAGCCATCTTAAAAAATCAATTACCTAAAAAACCATTCCATAAGCTGGCTCTATTTATTGACCGAGATGGATTGATGAGGGTGGGTGGACGCTTGAAGAATTCGGACATGCCATTTGAACAGAAACATCCTTTGTTACTTCCAAGTGACTCCCGATTGAGCGAAATGATAATTGAAAAAACCCATCAGTCATTTTTACATCCAGGACTTCGTACTTTACATTGCCTTCTTTTACAACAGTTTTGGATTGTTTCTGCGAGAAAGGTAATATATCGAGTATTATCAAAGTGTATTAAATGTTTTAGAGCCAAACCACGTTCTTATGCTCCAATAATGGCGGACTTACCAAAATACCGAGTTTCAGCACTTAAAGCCTTTTCGGTTTCCTTTTTTTTGTATTTCGTCCAAAACTTACAGACGTCTCATTTTCGTCTTCACTCGACATTATTAACACTGTATTAAACACGATCAGTAAGTCAATAAGAAAATAAAAACTTCAAGCACAAACACGTTACAACGAAATAACTTGTCACACTGACGCAATCTGATGCAAACGTCACATTTATGCAAGCCTGCTTGATGAGTCCGCACTCCCGTGGACTTAGAATGTTCTTTCGTTGCACACTCAAATTTCAAAGCCGATTTCTATTGACTAGGATTGATATTTCATTATATGGACTTGATACAAAGCTAGAGTCATGTCGTCGCTAACAGATGACACCAAAATCTAAAAAATGAATTTTTGTGACTTAGTATGTTCTTCCCCTGTAACACTTAGTGTAAGTGGTTTAATTCTAAATTTGATAAAGTTTTGAGAATATTTGCGAAACAAGCACTTATCATGGCACAATGGTAAGAGAAAAAGTAATAAATGTAATAAATGATGATTTCATAATGATTTGTTAAACAAAAACTCACAGAAATTTAAAAACAATAAAGAATAAAGTTTAGATAGTTATAATTAAAATCCATTTTACCAGTTGTTAAATTATGAAAACGTAATTAAATTGAATTTTCTCAATTTGTACTTTTGAAACTGGTTTTATTAATTAAGTCTGACTAGTTTCGGCCCATGGCCATCCTCAGAGACTAATTTTACAAGAGTTCACAGAAAAGTCATATCGTTAAATATTAAGTTTACAAAGGTGATTATTCGAATAAAATTTTTAAAATTAAAGACAAAATTACAAGTTAACACGTTAAAATTAAAGAATGTTCTTCAATTCAATTAAATTAAAATTAAATTACCTTTTCATAAAGAATAAAGTGTTCGTTAAGTACTAAAGATAATATCGTTTAATTTAATATATTTTATTGAAGCACTAAAGACGGTTGGTTTGCGGTTTTGATAACGGCATTAGTTCTTTCCTGTTATATAATATTTTTCTAGAAACTTTTGATAAGACGTGTTTTTCCAAAGCTAATATTCGAAATACATTGATTTGAGATTATGGAGGGCTAAATCCTGTAATGAAAATGCATTGAATTGAATCATTGTATTCGAAGTAAAATTTTGTAAAATTTTGGAGGAGCCAAAAATAGCGGAAAATTTTGGTTTAATTTTTTTTCTCAAAAACCATAAACGCTAGGAAAATGAAATTTGGGGAATATGTTTAACTTATAATAGGGCACGTTTTGACCCTATTTGTACTTTCAACCTACCCTTCTAAACTACTAAACGTAACCACCCCCTTTACATTTTTGCTAAAATCTTTTGTATGCAGATGATAAATACATTAGAAAAATTGTACATAGGTAGATGAAAGTATCCTAAAACTTTTTTGTCTCTCTAAAATTTTCCCAAAAACGACTAATTTTTGAGAAAAAAAATAAAGCAAACACTGCCCGTTAAACAACAGGGTTGTCGATCAAAAGTTGGAATGAATTTTTAAAGAAAAAATCTTAGTGGGCTTTCCAATCTTTATCAGAAATATTTTTGACATTTAAATGTCAATGTTTTTGTTACTATTATTATTATTTTTCACATTAATTTTTGAATAAAGTTCTATCGCATTTACGTTCAAAATTTTAAATAAAATAATAATAATAGTAAGAAAACTACTGACATTTAAACGTCAAAAATATTTCTGACAAAGATTGCAAAGCCTACTAAGATTTTTTCATTCAAAAATTCATTCCAACTTTCGATTAACAACCCTACAGCTTAACAGTTAGTGTTTGCTTAATTATTTTTTTTCTCAGAAATTATTAAATTTTCGAAGAACTTCAGAGAGATAAAAAAGTTTTAGAATAGTTTTACCTATCTAACTGAAAATTTTCCAATGTATTTATCATCTTCATAAAAAAAATCTAGGCATAAATTGAACTCGGGTGGTTGCGTTTAGTAGTTTAGAAGGGTAGGTTGAAAGTACAAATAGCATCAAAACGTGCCCTATTATGAGTTAAACATATTCCCTAAATTTCATTTTCCTAGCGTTTAAGGTTTTCAAAAAAAAAATTAAACCAAAATTTTCCGCCATTTTTGGAGGGGTGTAGCTCCCTAGGACCACTATATTTT